GGGGGGGGGAGAGAGAGAGAGAGAGAGAGAGAGAGAGAGAGAGAGAGAGAGAGAGAGAGAGAGAGAGAGAGAGCAACAGGTTTTTTCCCCTGCTGCCTCTCATTGTCTGCCATCTTTTGCTTTCCTGTCGATAGCTATTGTGCACTTCTGGTTTCCCGGTAGAGAGATTGTGCTGTGTGGCCTGATGATGATAAAGTGAGGAGAGAAGAGGGTGACGGAGGGGGAAGTGGTGCAGAGAATGCATTCTTATTTCTCTCTGAGTTTTTGCGCTGTGCTTTTCCCAGTAGTCTGAGGAGGAGGAGGAAAGGAGGGGGGAGAGAGGAGGGACAGAGAGCATCACTGCTGTTTGTCCTCTCCTCCCGATCTTTGTGTCTTGAATATCATATTCTTAGATCCTCTTTTCCGTTGGCAGTAACTTGATGTGGAGAATGTCCAGCCTTGTATCTCAATCCCAAAAAAAAATGAAAAAAAAAAAAAGGCCCTGAATCCCGAGTTCAGGGAAAAAAAAAAAAAAAAAAAAAAAAAAAAAAAAAAAACGTAATTGACTTTGGTCAAGTGCACTATATGACTGGTCACTTGTGGGACAAGCTCCCACGTATGTCGACTCCTCTTTTCTGGCCATCCATTGCCAACTGCACAGTCCAGGACGAAAGAATCCATCAAAGTGGGACCTGCCCACTGGCCAAGCTCATATGCATCTACTTGTGCTTTCTGTTTTTATCTTTTTCCCCCGTTTTGTCTTGTGGCCGAAGCCACCACAGGTCATGTAGGCAGAACTGAAGCTCTAAAGTTTCTGGTGCCTGATCTTTGCCATATCCATTGCAGAGGAAAGAGATGAGAGTTTATTTGAGATCGTGTGTTTGAAAGATGGCTGTGTGAGGATGAGCATGAGATAGAGAGAGGGAGAGAGAGGGTAAGAGGAAGGCTGTAGTTGTTTATAATAGCTCACCAACACTGTATGGGGGGCGCAGCGCGTCCGGGAGCGCTGCGCCCTGTCAACACGATCTCGCCGACGGGCGATGGAGAAGCGGGCAGGCGGGGTAGCTGTGCGGTAACACGCGGCGACGCTGGGCACCGCTGTGCGTGGATGCGCGGCTATGACAGGTGCCGCTGAGCGATGACACGTAGCGATGCAGGGAGTTGGCGCTGCTACACAACGACGCAGAGCTGCTGCAGGACGACGCGCGGCTAAGCCAGGTGCTGTTGTGTGACGACGGCACGGTCATGCCAAGTGGTGCTGTGCAGTAACGCAAGGCGTCGCCGGGCGCTGCTGCGCGAGGATACGTGGTCATGTCAGGCCTTGCTGGGCGATGTCATGTGACGATGCAGGGAGTTGTAGAATGGCGAAGTTGGGTGAACACTTCAACTCTCTATCTCCTAACATTTGAAAGCATTTTAGTGCCATCTCGCTGTCTTGTGCCTCTCACGAGTGATGCTACGGGTTAGCATGTCGTGTTAGGTGGGGTAAGGCTTTTTACTAGGTCTTGCTTCAGGAGGAATCATTTGTGCTCTTCATCTTGCACAATTTGGTGGAGAAGGTCGGCTTATAGCAAGAGGGAGAAGAGTACAGTCTGTCCCACGGGATGGGAGGAGGAGTGGAGAGGGATAAGGAGTGGAGTGATTGGGGTTCTTAGCTCGTTCTGTCATCAACCGGCGGATTGTCTTCATCTTCGCGCCATACAAGCAGCAGTATCAAGCAACAGGGAGAGGTCTTTTATCAGCAGTAACGGGTTACAAATGATAGGCATCATCATCAGGGAGTTGCTCATCATCATCATCATCATTATCATAATCATCAACAGGGCGTGGTTCAACTTTAACACCACGATCAGGGGTGCTGCGCGACACTCATCGTTGTAATACCATCATGGGCGCTGCTCGCCCCTATCATCATCATCATCATCAGGTCATCATCATCATCATCATCTTGAGTTAGCACAGGGCGCTGTGCGTCATCATCATCATCATCATCATCATCATCATCACCACCACCACCATCATCATGATCATTATCATCATCATCATCATCATCATCATTATCATCATCATCATCACAATCATCATCACCGACATCATCACCGACATCATCATCAACATCATCAGTTTGTAATCATAGGGGCGGGGCTGGTGGTGCTGCTCTTTAGTATGATCAGCATCATCATTTTGTTTTCATTCTCATCACTACCATCATCATCATCACCTTCATCAGTTTGTCATCATTAGATGTTTGCCCTTCAAGGCATTGTTTGCCGTTCGCATCTGCAGGTGAGTTGGTCGTCACCATCATCTTCATCATCATCATCCTTAGGAGGCAGGAATAGGTGCTATCTGGCAAGTCATCTGTGATCCTGCGAAGGGTGGTTGAAAATTCGGTGGCCCTCGAAGACCGATGCTGGAGCAACGCTGGCCGGAGCCGGAGCCAGGTGGCGCAACTCTGTGTCCCAGCTTAGTGGGGGCGTGCGGCCTGGTAGAGAGCTC